GATATATGCTGTGACCTGATGTTAAATAGATGCATCAGGATATAAAATTGTATGTGATACTAAATAACATCATATGGATGATATTAAAACATATACACATGTTTTTTAAAATTGAATATAATCACCTAAATATTTTAAATGACTTTCATTTGGAACAGAATTGCAGGTGATTTTTATTTTGTATTCTTTGCCAAGTGTTCCAAATATTCCATAGCCAATGTATATTACTTCTATACCCAGTTTTTGAGAATTAGTTAACAGAGTTTCCCCGGCTTGGCCCCCAACCAGGTAAATTACACAGACAGGCATTTCGTCAAAGGGGATTTGAGGGGAGGATTTGGGGAGTATCCCCCATAAAGACAGCTGCCAGGCCACTGCCCCCCATGGAAAGCTTCTTCCCGTCCACAAAGGGCTTCCGACACCGCCCCGGCCTCCGCAGTTTCACGGAGAAGCCCCAGCTGCACGGCCAGGCCTTCCCTGTCATAAAGCGAGTGCCAAGCAGTGGCTCCAACTCTCTGGACACTGAGCAAATCCAAATCAAGCCCTCCCCCGTGGGGAGTCGGGGGCTCTCCCCACCAGCGCAGGCCCGGGGGTGACTACAAGCAGAGAGGAGGGGAGGGGCTCAAGAAGGCCCTTGTCCTCATGAGCCAACATCCGCCCCAAATGCCATCTGTGTCTCCTTCCACTGAGCACCTCAGTTTCTTCTGCAAATGGCCCCATTGCGCCACCCCCCAGCCAGGTCCGAACGGGCTGAAAGGATGCAATTTAGGGCTCAGGAGCTGGGGCCTCTTTTACAGATATGAAGTTATGCAAATGACCAGTCCACAACCCCCTCACTAACGGCAGTAGCCCAAAGGGCAAGGAGAGCAGCAACCGTCCTCGGCTAGGTCGGGTCCCCCTCTGTAGTGGGCTAAACAATGGCCCCAAAAGGGCATGGCCAAGTGCTAGTGCCCGGGGCTCGTGAATGTGACCGCATTTGGGAAAAGGGTCTTTGCAGACGTGATTAAGTGAAGGATCTCAAGACGAGATCGTCCTGGATCTGCAGCGAGCCTTAAATCCGATGACAGCTGTCCTCACGTGAGAAAGGCGGAGGAGGTTTGCAACTCGCAGAGACGCGGGGAAGCAGCGTGTGAAGGTGGAGGCCGAGGCCGGGGCGAGGCATCGGCAAAGCCAGGAGCGCCGAGGACCCCCAGCAACCCCAGAAGCTCACAGAGGGCGGGGAAGGGATCTTCCTCGGCGATCCAGAGGGAACAGACCGCCGCCGACACCTAGACCGTGGACCTCTGGCCCCTGGGAGAGCATAAATTTCTGTTGTTTTAAGCCCCCGGGTTTGTGGTCATTGTCACGGCAGCCCCAGGAAACTAACGCTCTCTTTCACACGCCGCCGCTCCGCAGACTGGGTGTCCAGGCCCTGGTGCCCCACCCATGACTCCAGTCCAGACTGGTGGATCGGCCGCCTGTCCCCCGAGTCAGGAACCCACCAGAATAGCCCCGTCCAGCTGAGCTCTCACTCTGATCAGACCGTCCCGCAGAAGGGCTGGGCACAGGCGGGTGGCAGGGCCTGAAGATCTACCATCCTGTCGCTTGCAAAGTATTCCTTTCACGGCCCTAAAACATGAGCAAAAAAAATGACATAAAATGGAAAATAAGTAGTCTTGAAGTAAAAACTTTAAAACCAGCATCAAGGAAACTGAAGCCAAGGCTGACCCTAAAGAACCTTCTCGCCCCTTTTCCTGCCCTCAGTGACTTTTCCCTTAGTCGTCGCTGAACTTCCCTTTCAGTCCAGGGAAAGACGGGGTTTCCGCCTGCAGAGATCTCCCGCAAGGCGACACCCGAGGGCCGGCCCCGGCCCCCTGGCAGCCAAAGGCGCCACAACTCCCAGCCGTGATCAGATGGCGGAGCCCGGCGGGAGGCCCGAGCTGGAAGGAGCCCTGTTTCAGGGAAGGGGCGGGCCCCTGCGTTAGCAGGTGACCGTCCCCCAAGCTGATAAGAGCACCCACAAGCCAGGCAATGAGCTGTCTGGGGCAGACTCTGAAGGTCTTATCAAAACAGGCGCCTGTTGACCGGCGGGCAGCCCGTGGGGTGGCCTCGTGGGAGCCGAGCCGCTGTGTGCCCGCATGTGCCTTTGGATGAGCTCCTCCAGGCGCACGGCGTCACACGTTACTTGGATAGTTGGAGGCATGCAGTAGATACTGTTTCATAACTCGCTCTTTTTTGTTTTGGTTTTCGGGTTTTGGGTTTTGTTGTTGTTGTTGTTGTTCGGGTGGCGATGGACACTCCCCCAGTAAACGTCGTCTTAAGGGAGCTTTTGGTCACAGAGCAGGGGGGACTCCCTTCTCCCTCCCAAACCTGAAACAGCTTCTTTTTTTAACCTTAGTGAGCAAAGAGGTTCAGACCACCGAGAGACCATCAGTGCTCAGGAGGGTGGTGTCGGCCAAGTCCTTGCAGTTGCCACACAAGGTAGCAGGAAGGGATGGCTGCGTTTCACCCACACGGCTTCTCGGCCTTCAGCTGATGCTCTTTCTCCTGGAAACTTCCAAGGCAGGAGTGGAAACGGCAGCCCCCACTCCCACTCCCACCTAGGCTGGCAGGGAAGAGGACGAGCAGGTGGACCCAAATCAGCTTGTCCCCAGTGAGGTCACCACCTCCCTCCCCGAGGCGACACCTTCCCTCTATAAACCCAAGACGGTTGACAATTAAGACGTCCAAGTCCAGCGTTTCCTTCCTCGCTTGGGGCACCAAGAGGTAAATAGAATTCTCATGACATATGGAAGATGTGAAGACTAGAGAACATTCCATGCGTTTAGTCTAATTCCTTGAAATAATTTATAGAAATTATGTTATGAAACAAAAGTGACTATGCCTTGCTGTGCCATGGTCTCTACATGACAGTTTCACCAATTCCAAACGTTCACAGACAAGGGTGGCATCGCCACTTGGCAAATGGTCCAGAGACCCAAGCCCTGCACCTGCAGGAGCCTCTCCTGTCCCCTCCCTGTCGGTCCTCACAGAGCTCCTCACACTAGCTGCAGAGTGTTCTGATGTGCTTGTTTATCCGAACTCCATTGCTAGACCTTTGGTTTTCCCCCATGTTCTGTAACCATAACCAGTGCTTCAAAGAACAGCCCTATAAGTAAATATTTGTGTGCATGTGAGAACATTTCCGAGGGGTGTGTTCTCAGAAATAGAATGTCTGGGTAACAGGGGAGACACCTTGAAAATCTTGGTAGCCCTGCCAAATTTCCTCCCAAAAGTTTGCACCTCTTTCGTCCTGCAGCTACGGGCAACGAGAGGGACTGCTCCTCCCCACTCTCACCTCCTGTGGGCAGTGTTGAGCCTAACTGTTGTCCCCGGGGTGAGCCACTCTTGTTTTAATTTGCCTTTATTTATTAGTGAAGTTAAACATCTTCTCAAACGCTTCTTGGCCTCTGAGTTTGTTCTTGGGCAGCTGATTCTTTGTTGAAAAAAAATTCCAGTTACAAGTTCTATTGTTTCCTCCCGGAAGTGCTCATTACACCCAAGAGAGTACTGGAAGCTCTTTCTTCCTGTAACACACAGGTCGTTCTCACCTCCCGCAGGAAAGGAGGCTATTGGTGCCAGCATCAGCCAGACGACAAGCACCCGGAGCCAGATTCGAGGCCCCCGCAACAGGAAACCACTTCTCCAGCTTTCCAGGGCTCAGGCGGTCACAGATGGGACTTCAGAGGTAAATTGTTAGACGCCACACAAAGGAAAAAACCATTTCACGCCGCAAATATAATTTTTATACAGACACAAATAAAAGGACTATCAGTTATCTCAAGTAAGTATTGAACCAAAGTGAGTGTTACAATCTCGATGTCAGAGGCCAGCCCTGGTGGATTGGCTCATTCACATCCAGCCCAGCCTCCTCCGAGGGCCCCTTTCTCTCTCTCCAAGGCAGGAAAGCTGAGAAGTACATTTCCCAGACTCTTAGAGCTGGAGTTTCAGATGGGGATTCGGATCTGACAGCTATCTGCCCCGGCCCACGTTTGGGGGAGGAAGGGAGATGGGGGGAGGTGAGACGGGGCATTCTCCGGTGGATCCAGCTGCGGCTGGAACAAGGAAGGTCAAGGAGAAGCTGCGTCCTTTCGGCCATGTTCCGGCACCACGGCACTCCCGGGGCCGCGTGGCTCCCTGCTGTCTGCCACACAGCCACGGGGGCGGCGTTCCGGCTCTTTCCTGGAGCCCCACCTGACACTCACTCCTCCAACCCTTCCAGTGACTTCGTATGCCTCTGATTTCTTTTCTGCTAAAAATAGCTGGCGTGGTTTCGTTTCCTCCAACCGAACCCTGGCTGATACGGCCCACAAATACTCTTTATGTTGACCGAACCATGCGAGATATGAGGGAAAAAAAGCCTAGACAAAGGTCAACACAGTCATGAATCATGCCTGTTATGGTTTTCCCAGTAGCACTTTAATCAGGTACCTTGTATCGGTAGACAGATTGAGACGTACGCAAAGAACGAAATAAAAATCATTTGTTATTCCACAAGAATCAAATATTGATGAGAAGAAAACATTCAGCCCACTGAGATGTCAGCCCCAGCCGGCAGCTGCGGTGTCCATCTGAGCGCAGAATTCCCGGGAGTGAGGCAGAAAAATTGTGGCAGCAAAGTGTGATGATAACTTACCCCATTTGTCTCCTGGCAGAAAACCCGAATCCCAAAGTGTCTAGTTCTAATCCACAGACCTGGCAACACAAGTGGGAGCCTGAGTGCCTGTACTCTACCTGCCACCCGTCACCTCCCTGAACCACACGGACCGCCTGCCGTGCCCGGAGAGGGTCCTCCCAATCCCTCTGCCCAAGCTAGAACCTAAAATCTATTTGTCTACTTATTTAAGCTGGGCCTGTTCTTTCCACCTTTAGTCCGAGGTCAAAGTTGCCTTCCGAAGACCTCTTTCCTTTGTAATAAGAAAATAATAATAAAAATACCTACCCTTTACTGAACACTCCAAGCTATCAAGCAGTTAATCCTCATAAAAACCCCACAAGGTAGGAATTATTCTCATTTTACAGGTGAGAGGCTCAGAGAGATTGAGTCAATTTTCCAACATTCCACAACTCATAAGATGTGGAAGCAGGATTCGAACCCACAACCATCAGGATCCAAAGCCTGGGTTCTTGGTCCTGATGCTACAGCCCATTCTTCCAGGTCCGGGGGAGTGCCCCTGCCCTGCCGCCCTCTCTGGAGAAGCTGCCGCTCCATACAGAGGCTCTGTTTGCTTTGTTTTGGTTTTGGTTTTGGTTTTGTTTTTTTTAAATAAGAGCTTTATTGAGACTAATTCACAAGCCATCAAGTTCATTCTTTGAAAGTGTACAATCCAATGGCCTTTAGTCTGTTCACAGAGTTGTGCCTCAATCCCCACCATCTACTTCCACATTTTCATCACCCGGGCGAGAAGTCCCACGCCCATTAGCAGTCCCTCCCCGTTCCCTCCTCCCCCAGCCCCAGGCTACCGTTAATCTGGTGTCTGTCTGGGCGGATTTGTCTATTCTGGACATTTCGTATAAATGGAATCATACAAAATGCGGCCTTTTGTGTTTTGTGTCTGGATTCTTACACTCAGCAAAATGTTTTCAAAGTTCATCCATGTTCCATGTTACAGCATGTTTACTTACCTGTTTGGTCACCACTATACTCCCCAGTTTCTAGAACAGTGCCTAGTATATGGTAGATGCTCAAGACATGTTTGTTAAATAAGTGAATATATTATTTCATTTGAAATTCCCCAACAACTTCAGTGGCAAGCAGGACAGACGATTATGTCTTTTATTTTACAGAAGCGGAAACTGAGGCCCAGAAGGTTGGCTTCACTAGAGCCACTAGGAAATTAGGGAAGCCTCGGTCCCCTCAACTTCCAATCAGGGCTACTCGTGTGGCGTGAGGGTAGGGAGGCTTTGACATGCCCCTGGCATATGTCCCAGACCTGCAAGAGGTCTCGCCCAGGCCCCTGCTCAGAAGTCTGGTAAACTGCTCAAGGATAAAGTGATCATAAGAAAAGGCAATAAAAGTTATTCCTTAGCCAAGAGACTGGGAAGATAGGAGTTTCAGAAACTGGTGGTCTGCAGGTTGGGAGAGGAAGGGTGGCA